ATTGTTACAATATTGTTTAAAGAATTATAAGTACATTCAGGATAAAAGTATCTTCATTTTACAATTTTATTAAATAACGCACACAACAGATATTTTTTTAAATAAGAGATGCAAAAATAAATAAATTTTTGAAAAAATTATTCGTTGCGGTTAAATACACATAAATGTTCTTATTATAAAACTTTGCACACATGTAGGAGAGAGGGGGGTAAAAAGATAAATTTAGAAGTTTTTTGTTGCTGCCAAAAAATGGTTCTAAAGGGTGAAATCATCCTTTATATGTAGAGCGGCTTTTTGTTTTTCTCGATATATTTCGGAAAGTATTCAAGATATCAAAAAATGTTTCAAATAAAAATTTTATGGTAAAAACATCTTTATTTAACTACATTAATAAAATTTCAAAAAAAAATTGTCTTTTTAATTTTTAATCAAAATTTTGTTTAAAAAATTATTTTTAAAAAATATTAATAATGTTGTCGAATAGAGAAAATTTTACTGTAAAACTTTTATAAGAAACATTTTTTGATATCTCAAATATTTTTCGAGATATATCGAGAAAAGCAAAAAACCGCTCTACTATGAGCAGTGGTTTCCCTTAAAACCGTTTTTGGGCAGCTACAAGAAATATCTAAATTTATCTTTTTACTCCTACATATGTGAAAAGCTATATTAAAATCAGAATTTTCCACTTCGCGAGGTTCCCTTGTCAGTTAATCATACAATATTAATGTGTAAACTTTGATCTCTAGAGTTCGGAGGTTCTTTTTTGCGTTGGATATCCTGCTTCCTATCAAACAGATCTCAAGTCATAAAGTTTAATAATAGCTTCTCCAGAAGTATAAATGTTTTGTCTGGAGTGCCGCAGGGCTCACATCTTGGCCCTCTTTTATTTGTTTTATTTATTAATGACATAGCTGCTATTATTAAATTCTGCTTTTTCTTATTGTATGCTGATGACCTTAAATTATACCGTCGGATTAATGGACCTGCTGATGCGCTTTTATTACAACATGACTTATTTGAACTTGAGGCCTGGTGTAGGAGGAACTGTCTTCGGCTTAACGTCTCTAAATGTTTTGTCATTCATTTTTCTCATAGACGTAACTCATATTTATATAACTATAGTCTTGATGGTTTACCTCTCTCAGCAGTGCGAGAAGCTCAAGATCTCGGGGTCTTGTTCAGTGCGGAGTTATCATTTAATACACATATACAATCAATAGTTTCATCTGCTTATAGAACGCTTGGATTCATCCTCCGATGGGGTAGATTTTTCAAGAATATAACCACTTTAAAATTATTATACTGTACGTTAGTTTGCCCCAAGTTGGAGTACTGTTCCATAGTTTGGTCTCCGTATTTTAAATGCCATCAGTTATTGATTGAACGTGTGCAGCACAAATTCCTGCGCATGGCTGCTTATCGGCTAGGTAATCCCATGTCAATTACTTGCCATGACTACTGCACTATATTAGGTAGATTAAATCTGCTATCGTTAGAAAGTAGGAGACTAATCTTTGATCTTACATTTATTTTTAAGCTTCTCAATCACTCTATTGATTGTCCGGATTTGTTGGAACGTATCTATTTTAACATCCCGACTAGAGAATTAAGACAGTACTCCATCTTCCACCTCGGGTATCACCGTACTTTGTATAGCGCAAATTCTTGTGTAAATAGGCTAATAATATCTGCAAGTAATTTTTCCAATAGGGTTGACTTTTTTGGTGGCTCTGTATCAATTTTTAAACAAAAGCTTTCTCGTCTACTCTTGTAACCTGAATGTTCTCCATATTATGTTGTAATAATTTTATTTTATTGTTCTTGTTTTTTCTTTTCTCTTTGTATGCTAAAGGGTCTATTACCCGTTAATAAAGTTTATTATTATTATTATTATTATTATTATTATTACGTGTGATGTGTCCTAAGTATTTCAAGACCCGTAGCCGAACTGTCGATGAGAGCCTATGTTATATGTTAAGCTCCTTTAATATGGAGGCGTTGGTACGTCATTTGGTCCAGCTTATCCTCAGGAGACGTCGCCAGCACCACATTTCTAAAGCGTCTATTTTTCTGTGGTCTTGTCGTCGAATCGTCCATGTTTCAGCTCCGTAAAGGAAGATGGGAAAGACAAGACATTTCATTAGGCGGACCTTTGTGTTTTTGGTTATTTTTTGGTCTCTCCAGATTTTTGTAAGTTTGTCAACTGCCGACTTGGTCATGGCACAACGTCTTTTAATTTCTTTTTTGCATCCTCCCTTATTGGTGATCATGGAGCCAAGGTAGGTGTAGCTGTGTACAACTTCACAATTGGCTATACTTCTAACATCAGGTCTGTTATCAGCCATATCTGATCTACAATTATCATCTTGGTTTTGACTCTGTTGATCGCGAGACCAAAGTTAAGGCTTATTCTTTTCAGGAGTTGAAGGAGGTTTAGTATGTCTTCCTCAGTTGATGCCAGAAGAGTGGTATCATCAGCATATCGCAAGTTAGATATCAGCCGTCCGCCCACGGATACACCTTTATCTCATTCTTCTAGGGCAATTCGCATGATATATTCCGTGTAAATATTGAATAATAAAGGTGAGAGGATACATCCCTGCCAAACTCCAGCACGAACCTCGAAGTTTCCGGAATCGATTCCATCTACCCGGACTGCCGCTGTACTCCCTCCGTACAGTTTCTTTATGATGTATACCAGGTGATATGGCATGCCAATTTCTGTGAGAACTTCCCATAATTTGTTCCATTTTACAGTGTCGAAAGTTTTCCGAAAGTCAACGAAGCATATGTATCACCGGTATCCCATATCTGAGAACAGATGATGTGCAGAATATCCACTCCAAATTCTCCTATATCCCTGATTACCTCGATGGGTATTTCATCCGTTCCTACTGCCTTGTCTTGCTGTAGGTGTTTAATTGCAGCTCGTATTTCGTCTCTCAAAATACCGGGTTCCCGTTCAGAGTCTGCAGTAATTGAAATGTGGTCGGATGCATCGTAAGTATCAGCAAATAGAGTCACGCAGTACTTCCGCCAGACCTCCACAATTTCCTTAATCTCTGTAACGCAGTTACCTGCAGAGTTCTCTATGGCCCAGTTCTTCGGCTTGAATTGTCTAGTGATGGTTCTAATCTTCATGTATAGGTCCTTGGTTTCAAACCTTTGAGCGTTGTACTCTAACTCTTCGCAGATGTTTTGCAAGGCTAGGTTCTTATCTTTACGACAAGCAGCCTGTATTTTGGAGCTAAGAGAATTGAGTTCTCGTGCATCAGCACCTTTTATTTTCAACTTGCGGCGTTGTTCCACCAATTCCCAGGTGCTGTCGGACATCCAGTGTTTATGCTTGGTTGCAGTTATCTTGGGCTGAGATTTCGACACGGAGTCTTTTATAAACCTGTATGTATTATACTGTATGTATCAAGAGACACGGTAGTGTCTCGCGCCAAGTACACGCGGAGCGAGACCGACCGTGACTCTTTTACGCGACGCGACGGGTTGCGAGTACCCGAGATGATGAGATCTCGATAACGAGCAAACGGATCAAGTTCTAAGTAGGCTTGATCGATAGCTTGAGGTCGAATTAGGGGGGGGGGGTTTCTCTTATAATATTTCGCTACGTGCCCTACGAGCGGAGATATTGCGACGCAAAGTCCAAATGTGAAAATTTATTTTTAAGATACTCCTCCTCCTCCTAACGCCGACGTCTCAATATTATTTTAGAGAAACGTCACTTTCACTTTTTTGACGCTGGCGGCGCAGGTATCGCCTGTTTCGATATCGCGCGCGTATTTCGAAATTAGGTCGATAGACTTATCGGTCAGGAGGAAGATTTCTGTTTAGGTAAATTAGGTATATATATAATATATATATTGAGTCAATTGCTTCATGTTTATCTGGAGAGATTTCGTATACTTACATTGTATTACCACCGCTGCCGAAAAAGAAGGTTCTCTATGCTTGGCAGAAAGTGCCGCTAGGGAATTTTTAAGTCAATTCTTATGAATCAAGCTTGAATTCGATGTCTAGGTATCCCAGGTTGCCGATGACGAGGTCCAGATAGTGCGCTTCATAGTTTTCGGTGTCCAGGTGTAATAACACGTTGAATTCGATGTCTACGTGTCCCAGGTTGCCGATGACGAGGTCCACATAATGCGCTCCATAGTTTTCGGTGTCTACGTGTATTAATACCTTGAATTCGATGTCCACGTATCCCAGGTTGCTGATGACGAGATCCAGATAGTGCGCTTCATAGTTTTCGGTGTCCAGGTGTAATTGTACGTTGAATTCGATGTCTAGGTGTCCCAGGTTGCCGATGACAAGGTCCACATAGTGCGCTCATAGTTTTCGGTGTCTACGTGTATTAATATCTTGAATTCGATATCCACGTGTCCCAGGTTGCCGATGACGGAATCCAGATAGTGCGCTTCATAGTTTTCGGTGTCCAGGTGTAATCGTACGTTGAATTTGATGTCTAGGTGTCCCAGGTTGCCGATGACGAGATCCACATAGTGCGCTTCATAGTTTTTGGTGTCTAGGTGTATTAATAACTTTAAATCTGAATGTAGGACACGTAGATATCGAATTCGAGGTATTAATACACGTAGACACCGAAAACTACGAAGCGCACT